CCAGCAAAAAGTTCCTGAAGCGCCTCAACATCCTCCCTCTCCGATCGCGCACCCGCCATATCGCCGACTTCCATATCCGGCCCGACGACCCTCACCGCAAATACAGTGCCGGCGAACATGTCCAGGGCGCCGTGGTCCTGACCGTCGTCAAGCCCGTCCGCATCACGCACCTGACCGTTTTGCTGCACGGCTACGTACGTGTCTACAAGGGACCCGGCGCTCAAAATAACGAGCCCGTTCGAAGCCCAGCTGAAATTCAGAACCTCAGCAGCCGAGGGGAGCGCAGGAAATACTATAATGGCTATGCGTCGCTGTTTCAGGACGAGCAGGTTCTCAGCTCCGATGGCCGGCTGGAGCCCGGAAGATACGAGTTCAACTTTGATCTGCTCTTCCCAGCAGACGGCCTCCCCAGCAGCATCGATGTGCGTACCAGCACCCTTGAATCAGACGACATGAATGTCGCTAACACACTGTCCAGTTTGAACGTGGTACGATATCTTACATGATCACAGCAACACTAACACGGCCGACATCGGTGGCCCCAACAACTAGCTGCGAACGCAAAATCTACTTGGCCGAGAAGCTGGATGTCGGACTACTTGCTCCTCCCAAGGCTCAGACTGTTGACCTTCGACCCATTGCGAAACGAAGCAAGAAGAAACGATCAGCCGGTGGAGATGGGCGCTCGGTGATTTCCTCGGAACGCCTGTCTGCTGATGTACCAGAACCATTGTCAGACGGAGAATCGGCAAGGATAAACGACACGTCGACCGAAGGTTCTCTATCAGTGGTCGGCGATGACGTTGGTCAAGAGAGCTTTAGCCAAACTCCGCGGAGCGTTTCACACAGCGATGTGCGAAGTCTCAGTGGTGATAGTGCCGCGAGTCTCAGCACGCACCCGAGCAGAGCACATAGCGAGACAACCCAACTAGCGATCGTGGGGTCCGCCATGACAGGGAAGCGCATATCCTTTGCCGACGAAAGAACCATCAAGTTGACAGTGGAGGTGCTGAAAGGAGGAGCCCTACCCGGTGACATGATACCCGTCAAAGTATCGGTTAACCACATCAAGAGAATCAAAAGTATGCATGGTGTCATAGTCACACTGTTCAGACAAGGGCGCATCGACTCGTCCCCGCTTCAGCTCTCCAAAGAGGATTGGAAAAGGGCGGAATCAGATGACTATTACTACCCCAAATCCAGGACGGGTCTCAGCGGCCTTTCCCTGTCGTCTGCGGGTTCCTGCAGCATGTTTCGAAAGGATCTGTCACAGGCATTTGCGCCTCTTATTACAGATCCGCTAAATTTTTCTGCCACTTTGACGACTTCAGTACGAGTACCAGAGGACTCTTTCCCTACTATTAAAGGTACACCGGGAGAGATGATTAGTTTCAAGTACTATATCGAAGTCATCGTGGACCTGGGCGGCAAGCTCGCCCATCATCTACAAGGTGCAGCGCCTTCCGGTTCACGGGTGGGAGCCACTGGTGTAATAAGAAATCCTTACGAGAATGCTGACACACTGCCATTGTGGGGGGCGACGGGGAGCACAAGTATCCTAGATACAGATCACCTCAAAAGGGTACAAGGGGTCATTCCAGGATACTACGAGGTCATTGTCGGCACAACCGACAGCAACCGGTTACGAGGAAAGGGTCTGCAAAGACCCGGCCTTATACATACACCATCTGTCGCTGGCGGACCCAGCTACATGGGAAATGAGAACAACGAGAAGGGTGGTTGGCCGAATAGCATGCATGACGATGACGGATACGGTCCCGAGTCGGCAAACCCGGATGACGACTATGCATCGCGCCCTCCACAAACGACTCACCCACACGATCATGTCCACCAGCTACCATATTGGAATTATGTTCCCGACTCATCACCGCAAGAGCAAGAGATACCCGCGCCACACTATATACCACCACCCGACCTACCTGATGAGAACAGTCTCACGGAAAAGGAGCGCATCAGACGTGCCGAACAACGCCTGCTACCCAGCCAGCCATCAATAGCGGGACCATCATCATCGTCTGCCGCCCTACCCTCACCATCTACCTCCAATTACGTCATGGACTCGTCCTTACTACTAAACGGAGACAACATCTACGACGCAGAAGACGACGTACCGACACCAGCTGCCACACCGGCAACAGCACCACCATTCGAGGACACTCTTGTACCGGAATACACACCAACACCAGCAGAGGACCTACCATCTGCCCCAACACTCGAAGAGCTCGATCAACCACCGCCAATATCCCGAGGGTCTTCCCACCACCCTCTAAGCGCCACCGAAGATAAACAAGAACTCGAACGGAGGCGGCTACTAGCCGAGGCCAGCGCACCACCCGAGTTCCCAGCAGATTATATCCCCGACGAAGGCGGAGGGCCAGTAACACCAGCTGGCTCCTCCTCTGGAGCTGGGTCAGGGCCTTCCGCACCGCCATCAGCCCCACCCGCAGCTTTTGAACCCTCGGCACCCGTGTTCTTCGAGGATGACGAAGACTATCACAGCGGCGGATATACCGCCGCTGGTCCCGGTGTTCCTAGCGGAAGCGGCGGGGGCCACGAAGAGGAAATTGTGCCGGAATATACGTACAACAATCACCAATCTGGATCTGTAGGGACGGTAATGGTTGTTGGCGGTCCGTCAACTTCGGTTCCGGGGTTAGGGATGGGTTCAGGCTCAGGCTCAGGACCTGCACACGATCCGTCACGGGAACAGGAACAGCAAGCAAGGTCGGATTCTTCGAGTCCACCGCCTATTGAGTACTTGCCGCGGTATGAGCGATGAGTGATGACTGGTAATAGGTGGGGGCTTCTGAACGGGCAGAAGGGAGTTGGTTCGGTTCATGTCGCATTGTCGCATTGTAACGACTCATAGGCAGTTGGATACCTTTTTAATTTTACTTATATAAACCATATATATCTTGTTTGACATTTCGCCCTTGGCGTTTGCTTGGTGTAACAGACAGATCTCCGGTGAAAGGAAGGCGAAGAGACGATGAAGAGAATGTGAAGAATGTGAAGAAAATGGAAAGATAATGTAAAGAGAAAGTGAAGACAGCATGAAGACAACATGAAGAGATGGTGAAGAAAAGGTGAAGGGAAGACTAAAAGAAGGCGAAGATAAAGACTTTCGAAGTTACCGGTGAGCTTTTCTCACTCCTCCTGGGTGTGAAATAACTATCAAACACTGGGGCTTCTTCACCGTCATCTCCGTGTTGGCACAAGGGCAGCAGGCTGGTAGTCTCGTAGTAGTAATAAGTAGTTGGAGCTGCCTTGGGACTGTCTTGGGACTGGTTGATTAGCTGGTTGGAAAGAGAGTTGTATTTTTCAAAGAGCCTTTTTGAGATGTGGAAGGATGGAGGCACTAGGATAAAAGCTCGTTCTAGTGAGGTAGATACGGGATCGTGGATTCTTGGCAAACTGAACTAGAAAGAGTTCGGTCAGTTTGTTTTCCGTTGAACTGGGTGGTTCCTTCCGTTAACTGCTTGATGTCTTCAATAGGAAAGAGCACTAACGCCCCTCCTCCTAGAAGTAATAACGATCTGGTCACTATCACCGTCGTCTTAGGCAGGACCGTACTTACCTACCTGTTCGTCTTTTAGGTTGTCTTGGGTTTCTTTCACCCACTGCTAGGTTTGTTTCATTTTCTGATGAAACACCATGGCACCCTAGCCACCTCGCAGCCGAACACCGACGAGGAGAACGGCCTTGAACACGGCCAATTTTATATACAACCATACAGCCCTCCTCGTAGAAATCTGGCGCTACATCAACCGCTCCAACCTTGTCTCGCACGCTTTGTAGATGTAGCGTGATGTTATCAAAATCTCTAGCTTCCGGAGTTTGGGGTCCCTGGAGCAACCGGCAAAAGCGCCGAAACCCTCACTCGCGCTAAACTCGTGAAGAAAAGCATCTATTTCAACGTCTTTGGCTCCATTGACAAAAAGGCCGCAGCCGCCATGCTAGCAAACACCACGACTCTCCCTAACAAGCACATCTCCCAAAACAAGTACGTCAAGCAGGTGCTAGTTCTTACAAGAATGACAAAACCAAAGCCCAGGCCAAGAAGGACGCTTTTACGGTCACCCTTCACAAGATGCCTAAGAAACCCGACGTCCATACCGCCCAGGCTACACTGGTGGCCTACCAAGTCATGGGAGACGTAGCCGGATACAAAACCTAGATCGAGAGTCTGGAAGACGACTTTTCCATAAAGCCAATAATGGACAACCAAGGTACTCGCATCTACCCGCCCGATATGGGCGCATGATGGGCAGAGTGAGACGCAGGAGTGTATGTGCCCCCGCCACCGCGTCAAGGCCTCGAAGACCAACGCCTGGGTTCCCAAGGCCGCGGTCGCAGCGATCAACGAGAATTCAAGGAAACCGAAAGCAGCAGCCGCTGACCAATTTCGGCGTTACGGGTTTCGTCCCGTGCCCCTAGGGGCAAGAAGCAGAAGACTCTGATCCAGCCTCCAGCTCGGATAGCTACGAGTCAAAATGGATGTGGCACAACATGCGCGAAATGGTCCCATTGGAGGATTTTTTTCAAGCCCACTTGCAAGGACAACGACCCTCATCTCTTCTCCGGGCTCCATGTTCCCTCTCTCCTCTTCCGATGCCCTCTTATGCTCTGGAATCTGTCCCCTCTCCATGCTGTGGGCGTGATGCAGTTCACTCTATCATTGATCTTGAAGAGACGAGACCCTGCTATGCCGGTACCGAATGTATATAAATGTGCCGCGAAAGCGACGAGGGGGGGAATAAAAATCAGACCAGCGGAGGGCAAGATATCCAAGTCGAAGAAAAAGTCACTTGATTAGGAAAAGCTCGTGGTGAAGAAAACATACCTAACGTCAAACGAGGAAGTTAGACGCGTCCTTTTCATCTGAACTCGTTGTTATCGAAACACTGAAATCGGATATTTCATCCCTTCTTTCAAGGCGAAAAAGAAATTCTGGACTGATAATCAGAACCTGCTGAAAGACCGGCACCATCCCAAAGGCCGCCGATTGCCCCGGCTACGAAAACATATTACGACTCTTTCCCCGTGTGCCAGACCCTCCTGCACTTATGATCGCCATCCTATAGTGAGGAGGACGATAACGAAGACGAGGATGAAGGAACGCACGTTATCAAAATGTTGGAGTTCGAAGCAGCAATCTTGAACGACACATTCAACGCATACCATATGGCGTTCGGTCCGAAAACGCTTATCAAGCAACTCCTTCCGACCATGCTTGCGTGGTGAGAGGCTGTTGAGAGCACGGCTCTGGAATTCGCCACCGAGTTGCAAAATTCACTAGAATCGTCGTCCGAACCACCAACCCTAGAGGAATTAACGGATCTACCAGAATATCGACCAACGGACCCTGATGCATTTACATGCTACATGTTGGTCCTCCAGAAAGCCGGATCTGGGTCTCGTCCATTGATCTACATTGGCACCGGAATCACCAAGGACACCCAAGGTTCAAGGACTACGACAGAGGCAAGAATCCACCTATCCAAGTACACCCAAACAGCCGGCGACAAAGGGTACACCACCACCCACAAGAAAGTCCTCGTCTCCGCCACCATCCCACAAATCCCGGAACTTGTACACGCTGCCAGAGGCTTAACTGTTCAAGATGTTAGAAACATCACTATCATTGGCTGCCACCGTCGATGTGGCCGAAGAAGACCAAATCCAACAACCACGATCAGAGGGAAGACAGAACGCTGGCGGGAAGCAGAGAAAGAGCGCCCAGGAAGGAGGGAGGCCAGTCCAAAAGAAGGGCAATCGTCGTCGAGGACATCGAGGACACCGAGGACGAGGACATCGAGGACACCGAGGACGAGGACATCGAAGGGCATACGTTAGTTGGTTAGATGGGTCGCAGTGGTCGAGTAAGGACAGTTGTGAGCGAATGGGTCTCATTGGTGCCAGGCTGCCGCTGGTCATGAAAATGATGGTGAAGTCAAGGATGAAGAATGGGGCGGACCAATAACCAAGTTGATCACTAGCGGCTCGAACATCTAGCCATGGGTCGCCAATATGTCGGTGCAGCCGGAAAAGGAGGGGAGAACAAGTTCTGCTTCAAAATATGACATGAATCCATGCCACCTTGAACGCCGCCCTGGCAAAGAGTGGGCAGTGGGCAGCGGGCAGCAAACTGCAAAGATGCCGCGCTTGACGCAAGACCCGCATTGCTTCGCCTTACCAACTGCCATAGGTAAGCAGTCATACCTCCATGCGAGTACTGCGAGAAGTCCGATGGGGAGAATGAGGAGGAAGTCGAGGATGAGTTCCCCATCAATATCGTCAACGCCCAGGTCAAGGACACATGGACTTTAACTGGAAACCCGGTAGGCCTTGTCCTTCTTGGCGTGAAACTCGCGCTTGAAAAGACTTGACCTCGGCCTGGAGCGCGGCGTTGTCGGACTTGAGCTTGTCGTTCTCCCGCCTTCAAACGCTCCTGCTCTTGTTTGATGTCTGGTTGCTTCCGCACCAAGAACTTGCACAAGACACTGCGCTCGAGGATTTGAAGGTTGACTGCCGTGGATGTGGTCCACCATCGTGGTATGGAATGACGACTGTTCCGCCATCTATTGTGCGGGCACCCGGTACTGAGGTTTGTAAGGGAAGCCGATGACACTCGCGGACGTCAGAGAAAAGAAGAGGCCAAATATATGTTTGCCCCCGCGAGCACATTTAGTGTATGAGTGGTCCCGGCGTGAACTGTTTGAAACTGAGGTTGAGCGAGGGATGGCTTGCTTGCTTCGATAATGCAATGGAGTTCATGTTACTCAAAGGGAGAAAAAAGATCTTAGTCCAAATCCAAAACATGCTTGTAAGGTGGAAGGTACGAAGTACCTGCGTGGCGTGAATTTTCCAAGTGGAATTAAAGTGATATGGAGGTTTATAACCCAGAACTTTCTGCATGTATACAAAAACCCCCAGGAAAGGGACATGTGGCCGAGCGGCGTAGAGTGTAGCTTGCTAAATTCCCGGGGCTACAGCGTGGTGTGTACCCATGCCAGCATACCTTAGGTTGTTATGTTGTCAAAGGGCTTGGTGCTGCGCTGTAGTAGTATTACCAGCTGGTGTCTTCCGGCTACGCATCAATAAGGCTCTTCTACTCCTTTCCAGTTGCGATACGTCCCACGTTCGAAACACGATCCTTTCCACTTCTTTTTTTTTTTTTTTTTTTATGCTGCTCCTATTTTGTTGTCATCCCTTTTTTTTTTTTTTTTTTTCCCTTTTTTTTTTTTTTTTTTTTTTGACCCTGCTTGTTTGTATTGTTTTTTGTTTGGGTGCTTCTTGCTGTATATATAAGATTTTTGGGATAGACTTTTTGGTGCACTTATTTCATGGTGCCCTTCGTGTCGGAGAACACGAACCAGACCGAATTTGGAGACAGAGGGATCTTTTTGATGGAGTACATCAAGTCGGAAAGAGAACATGGGCAAGGTAGCGTCGAAGTGGTGATGAGGTCTGAGAAGATGGACGACGTGGTGGTTGGACACTCGGTGATATCATTGCACAATAAAGCGAAAGGTTGTTACAAATTGACAAGGAGGATTTTGGATGAAGCTGTTTGAAATACCTTTGCAGAGATTTTTTGTTTGTCGCTGGACATTTTGCTCAAGGAAAGAATGAGTGTCTCCTCCCGAGCTCTTGCCTCCGTCACCTACCATCCAGGCCAGAAGTAGGGTAGAGGGTTAGGTTGTGTCTCGCTTGTGAAGGGGACCGGCTGCGGTGTTCGCGTATTGGGAAGTTGTGTACAATGGAGGTATGTTTGAATTATGTACCACGCTCTCGCGCTAATGGCCCTAAGAAATAAATGTGTTTACAAATTTCGGTCACATCTTCAAAACCAGAAAGAAGCTCAAACCCCCTTAAACAAGCACAGTGCTAGCCTCCGGCCCATCCCCGCCCTTCGCATCCTTCCCCTTCTCCCTCCCTTCATAAAACGTATCCAGATCCTTGACCACCTTCCTGCCCTTAAACTGGCTCATAATCGTCACATTCTTCGCCCTCAACCGCGTCTGATACCAAAGCGGGAAGGCCGCCAGTGCGCTTATGATGTTCCCCGTCTTGGGCACCACCACCTGGCCGCTCTCGCCCGTCAACACCTTCCTAACCACCGCCTCCGCCACCGTCGCCGGCTCCAGCGGCGGCATCATAAACGGCGAATCGTTCTGGTACCCCTCGAACAGCGGTGTCCTGGTGTATCCCTGGTTGACCACGATGGTCCTGACCTTGGGTGCCTTGTACGTGCTCTGCAGCTCGGCCGTCAGGCCCTGGTGGAACGACAGCGCGGCCGCCTTCGAGGCGGCGTAGTCCACCATGTTGGGCACGCACACCCAGGACGCGAAGCTGGCCACCGTCACCACCATGCCGTGGTTGCGCTTGATCATGTACGGCAGGAACTCTTGCGAGGTGTAGTAGTGCGCGAACAGGTTGACGTCGAAGGTAAAGCGCAGGTCCTTCTCCGTGGTCTCCAGCACCGTGCGGCCCTGCACCACGCCCGCGTTGTTGATCAGCACCGTCGGGTCGCCAACCTTCTTGCGAACTTCCTGGGCGACCGAGGCCACGTTGGCCCGGTTCGTCAGGTCGCACTTGAAGTAGTGCACGTTTTGGCCGGCGTTGAAGGTCAGGGGTTGTATGTCGAGGACGACGACCCGCACCCCCTTCTCCGCGAAGAGCTTGACCATCTCCCCGCCGATGCCGCCGGCGCCACCGGTGATGAGGACAATCTCGCGCGCCCAGTCGTAGGTGTCGGAGACGCCGTTGTTGAGGACGCGTCGGTTCAGGTAGCGGTTGGCGGCCCCGATGAGGGCGAGGATGAGGAGGGTCTTGATGCGCTTGAAGGCTGTCGGGTGCAGGATGGAAAGGTCTTGGCCGCGCTTGGTGTACTTGGCGGCGAGGAAGAGGGGAAGGAGGAGTTTGGCATTGAAGGCGGTCTTTCCGATTAGGGAGATGAGGGTGTCGCCCTTGAAGCCCTCGCGAGGGAGGAGGCCATTGTGGAAAGGCATTGTGATGATTATGGTCGTGTGTGGTCGAAGTCAAGAATGGGTAGACTTAAACGGCAAGCCTGGAGAACAGAAGGTAAGAAGGAGATCAAGTTCACCACCAGTAACCAAACCTAGAAAGGCACGTCGTACCCTTTATTGGAAATGGGGTTGTCGTCAATCGTCCTCCCCCAACTGCCAAGAGCCTCATAGGGTCGCATGCCATGGCTTCCCCCGCATCATTGACACGATCTTGGCCCGCATGTGCGCAAGCTACCGAGGTCTGGAGCCAGAGGTCTGAATGGTTGTGGATGGGACAAGACCTTGGTGATGTGACAGTGAGGGGAAGATGTTTTGGAGAAAGGGAAAGCCTGTTTAGGGAAGGATTGGCGAAGCTAGAGCTCGAAGGGGTTCTTTGTCTCCGTCTGCCAAGACCTTCCCCGGATTCCTACGCTAGCAGCCCTAGCGTAAACCCTCCTCGAACGTCCGAGCCCTCTTCAGATGAAGCAGTCGAAAGGAGACACTCGAATGAAGCTATACGAGAAGGGGATCCATCACATGAAGATTCTTCTCGTGTTGTTCATTGTCTCTTCAGGTTGTTGTAGAAGGGCAAAGAAGCGCTCGGCTTGACGTTCAACTTATTCCGTTCAAACGCCAAGTTCCCTGTTAGACAAACGGAATCCCATTTCTTTTTCTTATCATAACCCAACGCAATCGGATGTCCTCCAGAAAGCATCAAGTCGCCTTTTGTAGATTCCTCCCATCCCCTCCTCATAAAATCAACTCTGAAATCTCTACTCCTCCCTCTCCACCGCCAACCTCAACTCACTCTTCAACCCCACCAACTCCATGCTAACACTCTCATGACTTCTCAGACTCAAACACGCCGCCCGCTGCGCCACATCCACCAAGTTCTCAACCCGTCCACCCATCGCCAGCCCCGCCACCAAGACACCCAAAAACGTATCCCCAACACCATTAACACTAACCACATCCTTGACCGTCTCCACGGGCGGGAACAGCCGCATGTACACTCCGCCCACATACGGATGATCATTATAGTTCCTCGCCAGGATATACGGCGCATGATGCACGTCCTTCAGCAGCGGATCGCCGGGCTTCAGCAACATGGTCACCAGCGCGCCCTTGGACCCCAGCTTGGTGATGATGGTCGGGATGTACGGCAGCAGCTGGATATTCTGCTGCGGCAGGCCCATGTCGGTGATCTCCGCGCTGGTGAGCCGGACGAACTTGTCCCGCGAGCCGTGCATACCGAACGAGTCGATCACTTCGAACCAGCTGTGCGTGAAGTACTCGTTTCTCGTCGCGGCGCTGTGCATCGCTTGTAACTCGTACTGGTTTGGCGAGGCGAGGTCGACGCTGGCGTTGGGGAAGAGACGCAGAGGCAGCTGGCCGCCGCGTTTGGGAGTGGCGAACAAGCGTTCGGATTTGGCGGCTGAGACGGGCTCAAAGGCCACGCGGGCACCGTGCTTCCGGCCGGCTTCGATCCAGGCCTGGATGTCGGTTTCGGCCCAGTTGCCGTCGACGACGAGCCACTTGGGCTTGGTGGCGGCTACGGCGGAGTTCCAGTAGGTGGGGAACGAGTGGTTGGAGAAGATGGCCATGTCCGCCATGGCCATGACGAGGTTCTTGTCGGCGTCGTTGACTGCCACGTATTGGGCGGTGCGCGTGGACGGGTATTCCCGGCCGAGCTTACGGATGCAGGTGGTGTCGAGACCGGAGGCTTCGAGGTTGGCGAGGACAGTGGCGCCAGCGCTGGTGTTGCGCGAGTGTGAGATTCTAACTTCACATGCCTGAGTGGAAAAGGAAGGGAAAGGCCGACTTACATATCGTCACCGACCATGCTGCAGAGTCTGACTTTGCCCTCCTCGCTGACTTTGTGGGCGGCAAGGGCTACATTGTGGCCTACACCACCGACGGACTGGGTGATGTGGGAGGGATTGGATACGTGGGCCAAAGGCGACATTGCTTTGTTGCCTTCGGCATCGACACCGCCGGCATAGTCACAGCTCAGATCGAGGGCGACCGAGCCAGCAACAAGGATGTCAGCCGTATTGGACTGTGCAAGGTAGGTGGATTATCAGGTCAGTGACACGGCAAGTTACTGAAAGGGCATACAATTACTGAAAACCAATGCTAGGCCTTACCTTTTGCTGTTGTGTGACCTTGGAAGGCTCAGGCTTGATCTCTACTTTCACTTTGGGAGTTCCAGGAGTTCCAGGGGACTGAATTGTAAACCTGATCAACTCTTACGTTAATAAGGTGTATAGTTTGGCTGGCTTATGGAGGTTGTGACAAGGTGCTTACGCAGCAGCCTGAGATGAGGAGCGGGAGCCGCCGTCCATAAGCTTACTGAGCTCCACTGCTACCTTGGCGGCCCGCTCAACGTTTGACTGAACCAAGTACTTGTTGGCAGGCACACTGCGGCCCTCGGTCAGCTCCCTGATTCTTTTGAGGATATACGGTGTGTTCTCAGCGCCGCCGAAACCCTTCTCGTTCGCCTCGCGCACGGCAATGCTGATGGCGTGCTCCATGTCCTTCCTGGAAATGGCATGCTCCTCCGGAATGGGGTTGGCCAGGAGAAGACCGGTCTCAATGTTGAGCTGCTCCTGGGCATAGATCATGGCCGCAGCTTCGGCCTCGGTCTGGACCACCGAAGGGCTCCTGATGCCGCTGTCACGGGCCCAGAAGGCAGGGAAGTCAACGTTGCCTTGACGTCCGTCTGCGAACGTAGACACCAGGACTCCTTGGGTCTCAAGGAACTCGAGGGTCCTAGGAATATCGAGGAAGCCCTTGCAGCCACTGCTTACTACGGCGACGCGAGTCCTTCCAAGCTCGGTCAAGTCGGCCGAGATATCCATTGAGTTCTCACCGCCCTTGTGAACACCACCGAGACCGCCGGTGCCAAATACGCGGATACCGGCGAGTCTGGAGAGAACCATGGTTCCAGAAATGGTGGTACCACCGTGGATCTTGGTTCCAGTAAGGCCCTGTATAAACCCGAAGGTTAGCATGCCATAATATGCCTAGCAATTACAAACCAGGTACTGGACCGCGTAGTGACTGAATTACCTTTCCAACCAGATAGGCAAGATCGCGTCTAGAGGCCTTCTTTGCACCCTCATTGACCATACGCTCCACCTCCGCAGTGCTTAGACCAACGGTAGGCACACCGGCCAGGATACCGCAAACAGCAGGGACAGCTCCATTCTTGCGAACGATATCCTCGAGGTACAAGTCGTCTCCGAGGGCGCCATGGGTGTAGATGGTGGACTCTAGAGCAACGACGGGCTTGTTGGTGGCCAGGGCGTCGGCAACTTCAGGGGAGACCTTGAGAAGGCTAGCAAGTTGAGAGTCTGTGCTTCTGAGACGGCGCTGAACTGTGTTGAAACCGGGTTGGCGAGCACACTTGAGTCGCGAGCCCAGTAGGGCTGAGCTGACATGGTGGGCCCGGCTAAGGAGGCGTTGCCGAGATGCCATGGTGGTGTCTGTTGACTTTGCGTCTGAGAGCGGATCGAGAGTGTAGGATTCCGCAAATCAACTGGTTGTCTCCTTGTTGGTGGCTTCAGGTACCTGGTTTTTGGTCAAAGATCTTTAAGCTCTTCCAGGCCTAACCGCAATTTGAAAAGATCACCGGTACAGGTAGTGAAGTGAATACTGAAAACTGAAAACGACAATGACGAGAGATACTCAACAGATATGGGATGCAAAACTTCCAGATCAGCAAAACCCGATTTTTATATGTGTTTTAGCCGCCGGGATATCTGACTGTTCGGTGGCGGATCGACGCCAAATCGCTGTTACCAAGAGATATCTGATGTTGTGTTGTTGGTTAAAAATGACCATGGGATAAGCTGATGTTTGGGCGAAACTCGCGATGCCATTTGCTGGAGTTGCTAATGTGGACCCCACCCCCGCCGTTTAGTTTGCACGCCCTTCGAAAGAATGCCTGACGATAAGATAAGAAGGGCTGAATTGAATATCAACCAGGGTTGGTCAATGACAACCCGTAGGAGACAGTACGGAGTCCATGGCATCTTGACAGTTAAACTTCCCCAAGTCGGTTTGCCGGTTGCTGTGTTGCAGCAGACAACTTAACCGTTCTGGGGCAGTATTCGACAGCACAGTTTGTTTAATTGATCGGCGCCATTATTTGCGACTTCTCTCGTTCAGGAAGGTGCTTGTTCACGCGGCGTGCTATCGACACTAGGGGGATATGCCAAGCGCCAAGCCCCGGGGCCTGTTCCGGGCCAAGACCGTTCATATCCGGAGCCGGGCGTAAACATACCCGAGAACGGCTTCGGTTTCGGCGTCCATCGGAACAATCATAGACGCCGTAACCTCCGGACGTGGTCTGTGCAAGGTCGAAGACTTCAATTCGCGTGTTGGTTGCCGCTTTCGTTCATGTTGCCCTTCTGGAAGACTGGATGGAAAACAGCGGGCATGATTGGTCGGCTCGTCCGGCAGAAGCGGGCCTTCTTCCCTTCTTGGCGAGCCCCACCGGGAAATGGGCCGTCCAGGGGTCCATGCTTTCCAGAATTCGAAGCGAAGTTCATGAAACACGCGAGAAGTCAATTGCATGCATGATTTCCATCCCGTCCGTCTTCTTCCCGTCAACTTTTCTCCTCTTCTCACAACCACAACCTATTTCTTACTATATCAACATGAACGATCAGTCCCGTCTGTGGGGGACCCTTCCACACCCAAACGGCGATCAGACTGCGCATGTCGATCTTAAATACAAGAAGCTGTCAACCCCGTCTTTGTCTTCCAGATCTGACATGTTTTCGGGACTCGGGCTTTTCACTTTTGGACCAAGCGGCCAAAGTGGAAATGGCTTCAGGATTCAGGGCCTGGGAAACACCCGATATCCCCACACACCTTCATCGCTTTCAGATGACAGACCCAGCTATGTGGGAATGAGAGAAGCCTTTCCCCTGGCTTGACTCCGTTAGTCACTCCTCACCAATCTCAAGGTGCAATTTCAATCTCGCGGCGGTATCCTGGATGCCTTTGGTTTCCTTATTATACACGTGCTTCCCTTTCCCATATTCTTCCTTCTCTCTTTTTCCAGAATCCTGATCTGAAGATCTTGTCTACATTCGACAGTCTCGTTAGCTGTCTCTCCATCCGGGATACGCCCAGTTGCTGTCCGGTTTATTCTTTGACAAGCTCATTCTCAGCTCTCTTTTCTCATCCGAACATTGTACCTTAACCAGCCGCCAAGATCGTGACTTCACGCGAATTTGAAATGGCAAAGTCAACGTCTCTCGCTGCTTTTGCAGCTGCGGCGCTCTTCGCAACCAAAGGTCTTGCGAGCAACTTTACCATCAGCAACGGCCAGATTTACACTCCTGGTTTTGTCGTTGTTGATTCTCCCCAGCCGGACACGCCTCTTGGCGGAGGTTAGTACCCCATTAGTACCCGGCTAACCGCTGGCAAATTGCTTGAGGATCCGCTGCTAATAAGCCATGACTTGTGTAGATAATATCGAGATTGCACTGGATGTCTCCACCAACGGCAAGCTTCCTCTGCCGCCCTACGACGAAGACGCTTCCAGCCAAATCTACAACATCAACATCTTCCTTTACAGCTACGACACGGGCCGCAATTTCACCATCACCAACGGCACTGCGTCGGCCAACAATGCCACACTTGGTGATATCATGCTCTCCGAGCCCGGTAGCACCGTGAAGCATGTCAGGTGGACATGGCCTGACTGCATGGTTGGTGATGGTGGCAGCGGGAGTGACCGTGGCAGCTACAATGTGAGTTTGACACAAAGTATGCGCAAAGCTTCCATAAAAGCCTTCTTACTAACAATTTTGACTAGATCTCTATTCGCCAGAGCTTTCGACTCAACGGCGAGGATCACTACACCATTTTCGACCTCCCCATCTCCGTGACTAACAGCATCAGCAAAAGGGAGGACCGCCCGTCTTGCCAAGCACTCGATAACCCGCTTCTAGCGCCCGAGGATATCGATTGGACAGACACCAACGAGCTCGGTGTTCTTTTTGCCCCTGGCGATTCGACAGTTATTGAGACGCCAGATGCCGGTAGTGGTGCTGGGCTGGCGAGCTGCAAGGATGTTCTTGACTTGCTATGTGTGGTGGGTTTTAGCTATGCTCTGTTGTTGAGCTAAGCACCCAAGATGTCATAGCAATCTTGCAACATGAAATATGGGATTGCGATCAAGAGGATAAAGACGTGGCTGTCAACTTCATAGATAACCCAACTACCAGGTATTTTCATGCATGCCTTCCGTCGGTATGCTTAAGTGACATGGCCCGCCCGGTTTCACGGCAAGTTATGGCTCCGTAACTACTCGCCTCAAATGCCTTGGACTCTATGGGCGTCCTATGTATCTGGTTTACTTGAACTGCAATTTTCGTCACAGAAACATTAAAAGTGAAGTGGTATTGAAGCCTCGAATACACACGTTAGAAAGGGTACTTCGAGCTTGTACCTACCTCGAATAAGGCTGCTTGTTAGTGATAATAAGTGGGTCTGGTTTAAGTGGAGCGAGATCTGCAATCTGCAAGGCTGATAACGAAAAAAAAAGTTCCCAACGTCAAACAAACCAGAACCCTAGCGACCGGCCGTGGCACTTCTGTCCAATTCCACCCCATTAATTACGAACGAATCTCACAAGCAAATTCCTGTTCCCGGACTTTGCACGATCACTCTCAACACATAACGCCATGGCGCCTCAAACAAAAGACGAGGTCGCCGACGAGAACGAGTTCGTCGGGTTTGACGAGGAGAGCGATGAGGAGATGCACAACAACGACGATATGTCGGTAGACGAAGATGAGGAGGACGACTCCGATATGGACTCGATTGCCGACCCCAGGAAAAAGTACGAGATTGACGAAAAGGACTCCGACGAAGAAGACCTCGAACGATTTGTCTTGGGCAACAACGACACATTCCGCGCCCAGCTCTTCCGCGACGACTTCTCGCCGATCTTACCGATTCCAAGGCCCTCGTCAAGGCCGACGGTCAAGATGATACCACCGGTCTCGAACACGTCGATGATAATGCCCTGTTCGCATTCGATACTGGTGTCCCCGGCGACAAGAAGCAGGCAGAGGCCGCGCCCTCAGCACTAGAGGCTTACGAGCAAAAGGAGGAGCCCCCAGCGTGGGAGGACAGCGATGACGAGCGGTTGACAGTATCCCTTGCGGCTGCCTCGCGGTTGCGCAAGCTGCGTCAGTCCGAAGAGGAGGATGTCGTGAACGGAACAGAGTACGCGCGCCGCCTGCGCTCGCAATACCTCCGACTATACCCCCTTCCCGAGTGGGCCAAGGAATCCTCGGCCGCCAGCCAGCGCCGCAGGAGAAGATCCTCAGCCGCCGGCTCGTCCTCCGAGGACGACAGCGACGCCGAAGACAACATCGATTCCGCCCTCCCTCTCGAGACCTTCCTCCGCGACGTCAACTCTTTCAACGCCAGCAATGACGGCCGTGGCAGCAAGCGCCGCAAGCTGCGCCCTGAGACCATCGACATCCAGCGTTCGCGCGACATCCCCGACATCCACAAGCAGTCCGTCAGCTCGCTGTCCTTCCACCCCAAGCACCCCATCCTGCTCTCGTGCAGCGTCTCCTCCGTCATGTACCTGCACCAGGTCGACCCGACGGCGCACCCGGTCCCGAACCCGGCCCTCACCTCGGTGCAAGTCAAGCGCACCGACCTTCGTCGTTCCGAGTTCTTGGGTCCCGACGGCGACGACATCATCTTCGCCGGTCGCCGGCGCTACTTCCACAGCTGGAACCTATCCTCGGGTGCCGTCAAGAAGGTCACCCAGATCCAGGGCCACCAGCGCGAGCAGCGCACCATGGAGCACTTCCGCCCATCCCCCTGCGGTCGCTACCTGGCGCTTATTGCCTCGGAGAAGAAGGGCGGCGGCATGATCAACATCGTCAACGTGCGCACGATGCAGTGGATCGCGCAGGCGCGCACCAACGGCCGTGGCGGCATCTCCGACTTCGCCTGGTGGGGCAACGGCAACGGCCTGTCCATCCTCGGCAAGAACGGCCAGGTCACCGAGTGGAGCATGCTCAGCCGGCGCACCGTCGGCGTCTGGCGTGACGAGGGCTCGATCGGCGGCACGGTGATTGCGCTGGGCGGGCAGAAGGGTACCGGCCCTAGCCAGCTTGGCGGTGATCGCTGGGTGGCTGTTGGCTCAAATAGCGGTATTCTCAACATTTACGACCGTAACGAGCTGGTTGAGTCTGTGAAGAAGGAGAGTGGCTCGTCGGAGGAGACGGTGCAGATCAAGAGCATCCCCACCCCGCAGAGGACGTTTGGCATCTCCACGACGCCCATCTCCGTGGTGACGTTCGCGCCGGACGGTCAGCTGTTGGCTTTTGGTAGCTTCCATAAGAAGGACGCGCTGAGGCTGGTGCACTTGCCTAGCTGCACCGTGTATAGGAACTGGCCTACGGAGCAGACGCCGTTGGGCAGGATTACGGCTGTGGCGTTCAGCCAGCAGAATGGTGGGGATGTGTTGGCGGTGGGTAACGATGTGGGCAAGATCAGGATGTGGGAGATCAGGAGTTAGGTGTGAGCATGGTGTTTACTGTGCTCTGTGTTGATGATGCTGCTTGTGGTAAAATAGTGCAGGACATAGAGAGTAAGGGTAATTCAGGCCTTTGGGCTGCAAAGAGCCAATCAACTTGTCTTGGAGGTTCAGTGAACGTTTCTCTGGCAAACAATTTGTATTCCCGAGCTTTGCCTTTGTGTGCATGCCATGTTCTAACCAACCCCATATCTCTGCATCCCCTCTTCTGGCTCACAAGATGTCGATTCATTCAGGAGGTTTCGTTTGCAGCCTTGGTTTCCATCTCCTCCTCCTTCTTCCCCCGCATCTTCTCCTCCTCCTTCTTCCGCATCTTCTCCTCTTCCTCCTTCTTCTTCCGCATCTTCTCCTCCTCTTTCTTCTTCCGCATCTTCTCCTCCTCCTCATTCTTCTTCCGCATCTCCTCCTTCCTTTTCTGCCGCTCCTCATCCAATCGCGGGTTGTGGATATGCTTCAACAACGCCTCCTCCGGCTCGCCCTTCTTGACCTCCTCTCTCGGGTAAAATTTTTCCCCTCGCTTGGTGTACTCCGACAGCTCATAAGGGGTGCTGAAGCGTCGTGGCAATCTCTTCCCTCCAGCTTGATTGATCCTGTCGGCGTCGAGGACATCATAGATGTTGACATGCACGCCTTCGATCGCCTGTTCGAAAGATGTTAGTGATAACTGGTTCTTGGAATGGGCTTCATCAAAGAGAGGACAGAAAACTCCCTCAACAACACAGACAGAATACATACCTCCCGACAACTCTGAATACTCTTAAACTCCCCCTTCAGGCCAATGGTCTTGCACAGTTTCTGCCAATCCTTGAGCTTTCTTTTGCCCATGAACTTGTTGAACCTCTTGACAGCTTCCTCCTGCTTCTTTTTCCTTTCCTCCCGTTTCTTTCTTCTTTCCTCATCCTCTTCCTTTGTCAGTCTAGGCTTCCTCTTCTTGTCGTTCGGCTGGCTGGCCTTGGTTGAGTTCAATCTATTCCACTGCGTTGAGTCCCCGACATAATGCCAGAGTCCAGTTGCAAGAGGAAGTCTCGCACTGAGTCCTGGTGCTCTTAGCCTTCCTGCTGACACCAAGCGATTGGGGTTGGGTAGTTGTCGCTGAGGTAGGTAGCGGAAAAGAAAGGCGCGGAGCAAGCTCATGGTCTTTTTTGTTACCGACGGTTACCGGTTAGCGAGGGAGAACGTTGGAGTTTTCTGGGCTTCAAGTGGACACTTACCGGTATAGCTATGATCAACCGTGTCTATAGATCTGTCAACTATCGTTTGTCCTTAGTCTGCTGTTCTTGCTGTGTACTTCGGCTACATATGGCAATGAACACTAATGTCTTATTCGCGGCCGGATTCCTCAAACTGAAGAGACAAGATGCTGGATCAAAGAAGGGAAGAAGCCAGAAGGGAAGGTTTTGCTTTCATGTGAACAGCACAGAAAGAAAGAAAGAAAAGCAAAGTTCATCGTGGCTACGTTGGTTTGTCCAATCCCAAGTAAGTTGAGGTTTCATTGCAAACGGATGGTGATTGACGTGGACTCTCTTTGGCCGTCTGTCGCCAACCAAAACGAGCTTCCCGAGCCACTCGAGTGCACATCTTGAGGGACAGACAGAAACTTGGCAAAAGTTTTCCATTTATCTCAAATTTAAAGAGTCTGACGAATAAAACCTCCCAAGGATGCAAGTTGAATTGGCACCACTGTGACGAACCGTTACAAGCACTGGAGTATTATCGCTGGGATAGAACAATGGAGTAACGGAGTAGTAGCCGAAAGGTACTGGTAGATTGTGATAGCTATTGCTTGCTGAAGAACCCGGATATTAGAAGGCCCGGGGAGGCCTTCTTTATATAATGGTCCTTCAATGGAGCGCCGTTGAGCCGGGTGAAGCTATCCCGGCCACTGTGACAGGCTGGGGTGCATATGCCCAGACGGCCAAACCTACAAAAGATAGGACGATGTTCTGCTTGCAAGGCAGAACTCGGAATGCACACTATATAGCCAATGTCAACCTGTGACAGCCACTCGGCCACCTGCGCCATGAGCCGGGGCGCCCGGCGCGGCTCTGATTGGTCTAATCTATCTGCTTACATAAGTGATCACCACCAAATCATCCGAAGGGTACATATATAGTTGGTAGGTGGGTGGTGCACTGGTATTAAGTTGGAATGGTATTCTTGTACACCTGCTACATCCCTGTTTTTCATCAATCTACAATCCAATGGCTGGATGGCCGAGCGGTCTAAGGCGCTAGACTCAAGAACCACAAAATTCTTCTTCACTCAATTAAGTGTGAGGTGCATTCTAGTCTCGAAAGAGGCGCGTGTTCGAATCACGCTTCAGTCAAACTTTTTTGCACGCTCTTTTCTTGTTATACTTTTTCCCTTTTTCTCTTTTGGTTTCTCTTTGGCCCGTGTCTATATATGACCGATGTGTAAGTATTATAATAGTTATTGTTATCGAGTTCACTTCGTTAGACACCTACCTTAATGAAGGCAACAAGAGCAGCTGCACAGAACGGGCAACTTCATCGTTGTCGAATGCCTTGGACGGCTGAGCTGGTCTCTGAGAATATCTTTGCATCTTCTTTCTCAACTAGGTACTTGGTCATTGAGTTCTGGGCCATGAAGCCAAGAATGCAGAACTGGAAGTAGAAAGCTAATTATATAGCAAGGCCTTCATTCCCTTCACTGGTGAATACCCGTATACTTCTCACCGACATATTCACCAGCAATGATCTACGCATGGTGGGTGGATGTTGCCAACTATCTCCGGGAATGAAGAAGGCCAACAAACCTTGGCCAAATTTGAACATGACACCAGCTTGGATAGGTAGAGTGTGAGCGCACTAGCGGTGACGATGTCTAGGTAGGAATCATCGTCTGTATTTCATATTACGAACTTTGCTGCCCATACATACCGTGGGAGTCGTGATCAATACTTACATGTAGGAAAAACACAGAGACGTATGTGGCTTAAATATTGGCGGATGGAAACAGTTCGGACGTCCAACTATGTAAGCGGCGGGAGGAAGGTGGTGTGGGCGGAAAGTGCATGGGTACCGGTACCGTGGTAAGTCGAAGATGGATGTCCTGCTGGGACATAGGCTAGAAGTTTAGAGAAGGCCCAAAGGCTGATATAAAGCATGTCATCGTCGAGAGACTTAGAGAGAGGAACAGATCCAATGTGTGATGAGGGGTGACAGAAATAGAAGGGTACCTCCAGGATGGCGGCGAGGGATGCATTAATGGATTGGTGAGTTGGTTACATATCGCTGGTAGGTATGTAGAGGTCCCAGAAATGTGCATCGGGTCAAGTTAAACCGAGTGTAAAGGCTGGGTTGATACGAATACCTAGATATAACCTGGCTCCCAGTAGGCATCATACCGCGCAATGCATGTGTGAGCAGCCTCGAGAGACCCATGTCTTGTATTCACAAGGCAGGCAAGCGGGAAAGAAAAAGAAGAAAAAGAGGAAAAAGAAGAAGACAGGAACTATACCTGATGATACCGCCGCCTATAACTCGTACCAGCCACAGCCCAACAGCCCTGGAGCATCTGAGCAACAGGGACGTCATATCACCACCACTGGAACTGTCCGGTTCGGTTGCTCTTCTACTGTACGCATGACTGCTCTTCGGGTATCTGGTCTTCTTTTAGGCTGAAAGTAGAAAACTCGGTATCGTCCGTTGTTCATGGGATGGGGTGGTAGGTTATCGTTGCCTAGCTTTGGGTCTATCTCCAAGATACTGATCAGCCGATGTTGACGATGTCTCTTGTAGTATAATTCAAACTTGAAAATTCGCTAGATGTTAGATGCCGAATATGCCTCGCTCAACTCGTGTTGACGAAGAACGGAGGAATGATTGTCGTCAAATCAAGGTCCGTTGATGGCACGAGACCGCCCGTGCTCTTCGGGAGCTCCACTCGTTCGGGAAGTCCGGCGAACAGGCCGGATGATCCGCACAAAATCGTAGCATCCCGTTATCCAATAGCATCCACTGGAAACTGGTCCTTCAACACCGACGATCCACAGCTATGAGGTCGAAGCATGGGATATAGATGTCTGGGGGGACGGCATGATCTCGATGAAGGTCAAGATGTTAACCGACACTGCGGGTATAAAATCATTACCATGCTCGACGGCCCAAGGTTAGGATGTGCGCTCCTCATCACTCACCCAACTTTCACCCGCACTTGACCGTAATCTGAGCATCATGGCCTCCCACGCTCCCGCTCACTTACCAACTGAGTCCGAATCTCCCACGCTCAGGAGCCTGCTTTCCGTCTTTGGCGCTGGACCGGCGCGCCAAAAGTCCGAGTCAGTGACCGAGGAAAAGGACCTGGAGGATGTCCGTGGTCAGCCCCCTCTTCCGTCTGCCAGCAACATCTTCGGGAACGTATCAGCAGTCACCAAAGTGATCTGGGCCTTCACCAAAAATGACTTGTTCACCGCCACGCTACCCAACGCCATCTTCGCCATCACAGCCGCAATCGCTGATAGTCATCTCCGTGGCGAGGCCACCTTTTCCGAAATAATCGCCAGATTCCCACTCACCTACTTCTTCAACTTCTACGCCCTACTCATCTTCCATCTCGGAAACCAGCGGCCCCGGGAGCCCATCGCCGAGGGGCGGGTAACCAACACCAACAAGCCCCGAAGGCTCTTCTCGCCTGCCCCCTCCGGCAAGACCTTCACAACGCCCGAGCAGATCCGCCGCGCCTACCTCGTCCTTCTCCCCATCACCCTCGCCCTCAACCACTTTTTTGGCGTCTGGCACGAAGGGCTGATGATTCACCTCATGACATTCATCTTCAACGACCTCGGCGGCGGCAACGAGCCCCTTGTTCGCGACATCATCCTGGGCATTTCATTCGGGTACATCAACTCTGCCTCTCTCAAGATCGCCCTCAACGCCCTCACCAGCACCACCAGCAAAAGCAACAGCAATAGCCCGCACAGCCACACCTGGACCTGGCTCAACCTCGTCAGCGTCCTGATCGCCACCACCATCGGCTGCCAGGAATTCAACAACAAGAACCACAAGGACCACCACTCCCAGGGAGGAGGAGGAGGACACCACCAAGAGGGTGGCGGCGGCGGCGGCGGCGGCGACAAGTCGGTGAAGCGCAAAAGGGCGCTAGCCATCTTCCTCGGCGAAGCGGCGGTGCCGCGGGCGCAGCTGGCCATGATGATGCCTCTCTGGACGCTCGTCTGCGCCGTGTTCTGGCGGCTGAAAGTCCCCGTGGCTTCCTCGTTTGTGCTCTATTCGCTGTTTGTGGCGAGCCGGGTGCTCACGCAGCGAAGTGTTGGCGCGGAGGAGCGGACGTGGAGGTTTTGGGCGAGGTGGACGGTTGTGGTTTATTTGTTTCCTCTTGTTGCCGTTTTGTCGTCGACGGATTGATTGATTGAGCTCGGAGCTAGACTGAGCTAGGCTGAGCTAGGCTGAGCTGGGCTGGGCTGGGCTGGCTTGCTGATCGGGTCTATGGTAGGGGTTTGTCTACCCTACCGTACCGTACACTACGTTTTGAATGACCGGATGACGGGAGCGGAGCGGATGAGGCGGATGATGCCGGATTGTTGATGCGGTGCGGTGGGCATAGATCTGATCATGAATGGGCAAAGGGTATGTCCTGGAAGATTGAGACGGCATCATGTTTGGATGCTTCGGAGGATTCGCTCACGTGGGTGTTGGAACGACACAGGGAAACCTTGAAGGCAAAATATCGCAGACAGTAATGATGATGATAATGACATTGGATGACGATAAGTGGAAGCTGGAAGCTGGAAGCAGTGTAGAAGCTAGTTGATTAATAGATGGAGCCATTCAGGGCTTTGTCGTCGTACTGAGAAGGTCGCGAAACGTGTGAGCTGCAGGCATATCTGTGTTTTCGCATCAGTACGGTCGGCCGGTATAAATGTGGGATGAAGGTGTTTTGAGCAAGAGGGAGGAAAGTGACAAGGGCATCCCGTCCTACCTGTAGAAGTGGTGATGCAGTTGTGGGTACTGGGTCAAAAGTATTCTGTGCATTGACATCGTCCACTAGCGCCACATACAGTTAAATGATACCTTAACAATTCCACTAGAGACCTTGCAGCTTTACAGCTAATGTGCTATTCCACTGGTCGCCAGAGTCGGAAGGGGCTGTATGACAAACGAAAGACAAAACGTTTGGATGCAACCATGGTCAAGTGTGTCCAGATTCACTTTTTATTTTCTTCAGTTCGAATAGAATAAGTCCTCGTCGACAAAAGAAAGTCGTATAATTCTCTGGACTTGGTGCGCGAATCGGTTTTCGCCCTTTAGAGGTATGCTTGTCCTTCTCCGAGTTCCTCTTCCTTGTATAGGTAAATTGGGCCGACGGGAGTTCACAGAAGGTAAAAACCAAGGCTAGAAAGGCTGGGGTGAACCAGTTGTTGTGTCGAGCTTGTGGTCATGGGTTCTGAATGACAGACTTCGTTCCCTGTTCATGGTAGCTATAGCAGGACTGCTGAGCCGAGCGAACGCTCACTTCTTATTCAAGATCCCCTTTTGATGTGTAGTTCTCAAACAATCTCGTATCTATACCACCCCCTAGCTTCGCCATCTTCTTCTCCGAGATTAGGATCCATAATACCCAGCTTGTTGCGCTCTTCGGCATATCGATCAAGGTAATCGAGAAACTTGCTGATCTCCCCAACATAACCCAACTCAACGGCCGAGGTATAACGAGAGCGGAGCGTTTTGGTAATCACACCGTTGCCAAACGGATCTTTCTCTAGCCACTCCCCTCGGTCGGCAAATCCTGGGGGGTTCTCATCCTTCTGTTGTATCTTCCCTTCTTTTCTCATCTTCGCTATCCGCTCCTCATAGACGCGCCTGCCTTCCATACCCCACTGGTCCTGGATAAAGAAGTGTCCGATTCTGCGCAACTGTCCCGGAGATGATGACCCTGAGGGTACCAGAAGCAGCCCGCCCAGTCGCAGCAGGCTGGAGTAGGTCAGTTTGAGGTCTATGTCGGTTTGCAGGGGGGCCACGTAGACTGTGATGTCCACGTCCGTATGTGTAGCCATCTGTTGCTCGTTCCAAGGGAGATGATCAAGCACCACCATCGTGCGGAATCCTGATTTAAGGTTGTCACTATCTTCCTCGGGCATGCCAGAGTTTGAAACCGTGACTTTGGTATCTTGATCGAAACACAAGATTTCTGCGTACTTCGTCTTCACCAATGTTGCTTGACACATGGGCCCGTTCAAACGAATAGTCCCCTTGGTCACAGGGCCAAACAGGTGCCCTGGCGAGGTCAACGTAACGTCCGCCTGCAAAACTTGGGCTAACCCATCAAAGTCGTCGGCGTCAAACCATTGGACCGGCGTGCCAACAGACGCCCATGACCAAGATGGCGCTATGAAGTCATTTGCTGGAATTGATGGCTTTATGCTATGCCAGAGAAGACTCGAACGGAGATGTAATGACCAAAGACCGGCGTGATACTGGACACCGTCCCAGAGCTGTCCCAACTCGGCGGCCATGCCCGCGATGGCAATGAGCCTGTCGCTCGCAAACGTCAGGTTCAAGCGGGAATAGTCTTTGACAATATTCTGCCAGACATTTCGGCGACTTGCATCCGTTTCTCCCTCGACTGTGTGTTGTCGCTTTTCTAGAGCACTTCCAAAGGGGGAGTTCTCGGACCCGCTAGAGTCATGACACTCCCAGTGTATCTCTTTCCCGAAGATCAGGTTTCGCCGAGCCAAGACTCTCTCTTGCATCACCCAGCCTCTCGAAAAGAGCGTCAAATCATTGAGATTCTCTCTCTTGGCGTTCATGTATGGATATGAGGCGAGTTTTGGATTGTGAGGATCCCCAAGGGGCGCAACAAATGGGATACTGAGAAAGGGGTATTTTGACGAATAGAGCCCGCCGTGGGAGTTGGATGAAGCAGCCGCCATGAGATTGAGGTGTGAGTTCTGATATATATGATGCATCTTTGCGGATTCGTGGAGCCAGTCTTCGCGAGAGTCTTGGATGATACACAGAGAGTCAATCCATAGGTATTGGACACTCAGTCGCCGAGTTGCGTCTATGGCATCTCTGAATGTCTTTGGTATTTCGCTGAACTCGATCCCGGCAAGAAATTTATTGTAATTTCCGTGCAAGAGACGTAGCGGAACACCGTCACCCCAGCAATGACTAAGTGTCATGTAATCTGTCCGCGACAGATCCATGGTTTTGGTTTCGCAAAGATTCACCGAAGGGTTGACAAGATCACCCACGAATAACAGTCTCGTGGGCTTGCGATCTCGAGAATCGTCTCGAATTCGAACATGGCAGGAAGGGTGGCTGACCGAGCACTGGCCGATCCATTTATTTATTTGTTTCCAGCTGGTTTCACTGTTGGTGCTCGTGCACCCAACGAACTGACCTTCTGCTTCACCTAGTTGGGAAGAAGAGTAGAAGATGGGAGTTAGCCACCAAGTTACACGGAAAAGGGGAGAATTTGTGCAATATCCGGGCCACGTTCTTACTCAAGTCTATGCCTTCTGCAAGGGGTTCCAACGTTATGTCATACAGTTGTTGTTTGACTGAATGCAACTCCCACGATACCATTACACCTGGCGTCCCAGTCCAGCTACGGTCCCAAGACCGTATTCGCAACTTGAGCGGGCTTGTACTTTCTTCCGAACCCAAACTATCTGGATTTGTGAACCGCAAGACGTGCTCTTCGTCCAAGGTATTTAGCAGGACGTAACAGTGGTGACATCCCTCCCTAGCCGCGTTAGTCAACCCCGCCCAGTGGTGAAAGTCATACTCTTTCCCCGGGTAGTCCTGGATGCTCAGATCTGCATTCTCGAATATCCATCTGCATTTGGAACAATACTGTAGGCGTTGTGAGAGAAATTCGGGTGATAGATGCAAGAGGGGTTGCGGCGGCTGAACTGCCTCCTCCTGGGCGTTGAAACCAATGTTCTGCTCATGGTTCAACCGTCCAGGCATTGTTCCTTGATAGTTTGTCGTCGTTTTGGCCAACCAATACTTGTCGGGAACAAACTGGTGAGTGTTTTAACGAAGGATAGAGATTGACGATGGTTCGGGGTCTCCATCTCGTACCCCGCACGGGCAAGCGACGACAAGCGTCCATTGCCTTACCTGGCTGCATATGATTCTACAAGAAATGATGCAATAGCCCGCCAAAGCCCATGTGATTGGGGAATAATGCTTTAATTTTATGTAAAAGATCGCTTGACAGGAATAAGCGCCAGTCTTCCTCGACTGTCGGCTCCCTGCCAAGTGCATCCCACCGAAGTTCCCGATACAACCACTCAATGTCGCAGTTGACATCGTTCTCATCATCAAAAAGTCGAAGGTGTGGTTCCGGACGGCAAGAGAGATTGGGATTCAATATATTCACATTTTCCACCACGGTATCGTATATTGCATCCTTTCCGGCCTCCTGATCGGATGGACACGCGGACTCGCGCTCTCATCCCGTCTTCATGCCGCGAAGGCATGCGAAACCCGGCTCCTTCTCAGGCCAACTTCACAGCCCCATCATGCCTCTTATACCCATCCTGAACAAAAGATACAAACGGCGGCGCGTAGGTGACTCGATATTTGCTTCAACCTGATACGATGAAATAGCCGCGTAGGACCAACCGCAGTGCTGTACCCTTTGGCGATTTTACATTTCAGATGCGGCCGGGGCGACCGCCCGGCCCAACCGTCCGACCCGACTCTTTTTGACCACGACCTCCCACCTCAAAGGCCCTCCGATCGGCCGTAGAGGAACACCTTACCTTGATGGCCAAAATATCCGACCATGATAGTGGAGATTCCGACGAAGCGAAAAAGCCCACGTGGGCCCCTTCGTACGGCCGCCGTTCCGGCTTCGCCTTCCGCTCCGCCATTACTTCATCGCCATCTGTCTGCTGGGAAAGAAACCCACCAGGGTGGGCGGCCTGGCCCTGGACGCGCTTCACCAGACTGCCAAAAGGCAGATTGCACAACGGCCCTTTCTGAGGCCCATCATGTGTGGTTTTGCCGCGGCGCTTCGAAAACTCAGGATGTCCTCTGCCCCGCTCAGTGAGGTGACACAAGACATTTCTCAGCTGGGACTCTCACCCCAACTTCGCTTCAGCTCCCCAAAGACGCGCTATGTAGGAAATCCAAGTCGAGTTTCCTCCGCTGTAGCTACCCGTCTTTCACCCGTTTCAGGCGCACTCCTATTTCACTTCATTTCATTTCCTCATTCTTTCCTTCAGCTGGCACGCGACATCTTCAAATTCTGTATATCATGATACTCATCTTCAACTTCCTCACTCCAGTTGGCTTCTCTCTCAATCTTCTTCTCCAGATCTTCTTCTCCAGATCTTCACCTCTCACAATTTTCACGTTCTATGCTTTCTTTCTTTGTTCATCTTGACGTGCGTACCCGTGTTGTTTCAACTTCTCCGTCCCATCCCATGGATTTTCAGGTACCAAGTGGGAAGCCACTCATCTAACGTCATGCTGTGCGACTCACCCACGCGCTTCTTCCTAAAGATCTGTCCTGTCCCGAATTCCCCAAGTGAAGTCCCTAGCTCTCGGAGTCGTGTTCTGGAAATCATTAGGTACATACCACGACGGGGTCATGCTATGGCTGGCCGCCCTGTGTCAAGTGTCAACACCGAGGCTATGGATCTGCTCAGCTTACCTGGGCTTTGGCCAGCTTACATACGCATCTTAAAGTTGTTCCAAGATGTCAAATGAAGTGGATTGACGTGTCGCTTTGACTGGTGGTTGCAAAGGTGAGGAAAATGGTGACGGGGAGGCTGAGTTTGGACTGCGTCCGATCCTTCCGCTCGCCGCTCGCCAGATCACCTATACAACCTACATATACTACATAATTATACTACACTACTCCGCAGCGTATCACGGGTCACGGTAGCATTGATAACCTAGGTACGCTACGAATAGCAACACGGAGATTTCACTCGTCGGTTGCTTTTACCGAAGTGACCTTGCCCAGAAGTTTAGTCGCTACTGCCAATCAAGCAGTCGCTTGTATCCAGGGCGATCGCCAACTCACCAAGAGCACCCAATAGCATCCCCCTGCCTTACACTACTACTGGTAGCGGGTGTTGATCGTTCACCTGAAATTTACCGTTCCAGCGAACGGTAGGATTCGGAGTTGGTCTTGGAAATGCTTGGAGCCTTTGGGCGGGCGGTTAAAAAGATAATGGAAATGCTTCGGAGCGACCGCAGCAAACCGCTCCGAAGTCCGGATGTATAGGTATCAATGCTGTTTGAATAGGTTGATGAAGTGATAAGACCAACGAACTATGACGATCAACAAGTGAAGAGAAAAGGCGTAGGTAATGTAAATAATCACTCATCACTCATCACATCCCATCAGCCACATCCATGTGTTTGATAGTTCACCTAACCGGCAGGCCTAGCTATCGAAACCAGCAACCAACAGCGCAGAAAAAAAGGCGTCACAATACAATTTCCTGTTCTACTTTTTCAACTTCTTCCATCACGTCACGATCCTTTTCAGTTTTCACAGCTTTCATAATCCAAAACAATTTGCTCAAATGCGAACATACCTCTCTGCTGCAAGGGACAAGAAAACTAAACGTTCCTTTGATTAACTACCACACCCTTACTTACTTGACCCGACCCAGCCATAAAAACAACAACCACACCAACAGCCCCAAAGAGGCCAAGACTCAGGTATCACCAACCGACACCCACCCGCTTCTGACACAGCACTAGCACCAGCGTACAGCACTGCACTCGCTCCTTTCCGTTCACCAGAGCCAGAGGTGAGTATCGCGACCCAACATCAACACCACCAACCACCACACACACAGGCAACTCGTCTTTGTTACACAGCCTGAACAGCCAGCCAGCCAGCCGAAAGGGATCACACAGCGGCCTGTTATGGCAGCGTGCGGTCTCCTCTATCAAGTATGGTAATTGTATAACCAGAGCTGAGGTCCCTGCACTCTTCCGTCCGCATCGCATCGCATCCCGCTCCTTCGCCTTCGCCGCCATTGAGAACAACGCTCCACTTTTCGTTTTGTTTCGTTTCCACTTCCCAGCGATCCCCAATTCCACGTTCTAAATTCAGGCGCAATCCACATATCCACACATCCCTATCAAAGAAACGAGATCAACAGGTCACAAAACACTCGTGGCTTGGCGTTTTCTTCCGTCGCAAGCAATTGGCCCTTGTTGGTCGGGTCCTGAGGTGTCATACAGCAGCTACAGTAGCGGGGCTCGCCCATGACAAAAAAGACGGCAGTCCAGCCACTACCACCATAAACAGCCAGAACACCACGAGACCATCACCGAAAGTAACATTTTTTTATGGCATCTACTGCCCAATTTCGTCGGCTTCTAATTCCGTAAATTTCTGCAGTGGTTTCGGTATTCGGGCTATCCAGAGATTTATTATGGTACTGGTTTCGTGGTCTCCTGTCTGATCCTGGTGCTAGTGCCTGGACTGCCATCTTTTTTTTCATGGGCGAGCGGGGGTCTAGGTAGCGGCGGGAGCCCAGAGGGCAGCTATGCCAGCAAATTAGCGAGTGTATTTTAACAAACCCCCAACGAACACGCACAGCCCGTCGAGCCCGTCAACCCGTCAACCCGTCAGTTAATAGCCCGTCCGTTGAACACCTGAACTGTGACCTTTCAATGTGTGTCCAGCGGTACTACCGTTGTAGTGCAAGTGGTACAGTACCTGCTGCTACGCCGTTAACGCCTCTCGCCCGCCTCTGCCTTCCCGCCTGCTCGGCTTGTTAGGTTACAGTGGCAGAGTGGTGGTGAACTACGCCCCTGTCCTGCCTTGGCCTTCTTGGCCTTGACCTGGGCCCCCCTGGGCCCCCTGGGCTTTCTGGCTTTCTGCTGGCTGGCTTTGTGTGGAGGCACCGCAGCAGAATGAAACCAAGCACCACAAGCGAGGGGGCAGATCTCCCATCCGTATCCATCTATTCTCCCACAATTTTCCCGCATCCGCTTGGAAGCACAAGGACACACTGGAGACTTATTTTAGAAATATACGTGTATATATACAAAGGTACTACCAAGGAAACTCTCCTTGGCTTGCTTGACCTTCTTTCTTCCTTTGCTTTACTTAGCACGACTCAGTGACGGTACTAAACGCAGAAACCTCTTAAGAAATACAACAAAGAGGAAAGACGAAAACAACGAGCCAACAGTTCTTCTTCATACGAGGTTCAACAGGGAACAAAACAACGGCAGTGCAACAGGGGGTCAATTTCAACAACTTACCTGACGAACCGGACTTTATCCACATCCCATCCACATCCCATCCACATCCCATCCACATCCCATCCACATCCCATCCACATCCCATCCCATTTCATCAAATTCCCATATATCCCAACCAACGGCGGAAAGTTTGATTGGAAGGACAGCGGACCGACGTCAATCGAGTTGGGTGACGCATTCGGGTATTTTCGAGGGTTCTTCGAGGAAACGTTGGAAACAACAAAAACAACAACGAAGAGGTATGTTGTTCGCTCCCCTGTTATTTCGTTTCACCTGTTGGGTCGCACACGTGGAAGTTGGTCCTCCTCCCAAACGCCACCCAAGGAACCGGGGACAAGGTCTCTCGAAATGTTTGTTCCCCTTGCATACATAGATAGACGGAAGGATTCAGACTGCCCGGCCGACCGTGCTTGTGCTTGGGTTCGTTCAGCTTTGATTTAAAGTTGTCGTCTTCCGCTGCCCCCGTTCACTTCTTTTCTTTTTTGTTTTGGTTCTCTACCTTCACTCAATCCGTCAGTCAGTCACTCGCTCAGCAGCATTCAAAGGGAAGACAAGAAAAGGGTCGCACAGACTAACATCGAGACATCGCACCAGACGCTGCTTTCTGTCAGCATTATCAACCTAATCGTCGATTATCAGCAATAAACCACCATCCAAAATGCGTACCTCGGTAGCTCTTTCCCTCCTCGGCGCGGCCGCTACTGGTGTTGCTGCCCAGAGCCAGAAGCCTGTATGTTGTCAACATCAACCATTCTACCTATGACTACACCGACATAAGAAAGCTTCCGAATACTAACGATGCGGTTGTAACAGCTCCCCACAGCTGTAGCTGTCAACAACAATCCCGTTGGTCTCGTTGCCGAAGCGGTCCTTCCTGGTAACAACATCAAGGGCAAGGTGGTCGTCAAGTCTGGCGATGGCGGTGTTGGAACTCAGTTCAACATTGAACTGAGCGGTATCCCTGAGGATGGCCCCTTCAGTATGTTCCCGACATAGCCCATCTTTGCCCGATAGGAAAAGGGGGACTAACCTGTTCACAGCCTACCACATCCACGTCAACCCCGTCCCGGAGAACGGCAACTGCAGCGCCACGCTCGCTCACCTTGACCCTACCGAGCGCGGCGAAGACCCCGTCTGCGACAAGAGCAAGCCCGAGACGTGCCAGGTCGGCGATCTGTCCGGCAAGTACGGCGCCATCACCAAGGGTCAAACCACCTTCAGCGCCAGTTACCTTGACAAGTACGCGTCGCTCGTTGAGGGTACGGGCGCCTACTTCCTCAACCGCAGCATCGTGTTCCATTACCCCAACAAGACGAGGATCACCTGCGCCAACTTCAAGATCACCAACGCCGGGTCCGCCCCGCATCCTTCGGAGTCGGTCAGCGATGATCATACCGTGACTGTGACCCAGACCGGCCCCGTTTCGCTTCCAACCAACGGGCACCGGGATCTCGAGCGCTGCCCCTATCGGAACCAACCCGGCGCAGACCACTGGGGGCGCTCCTTCGCCGTCAGGCACGATGCCTGTTGAGGCCGGAGCCAGCTTCAGCACGAGCTCCATGACCAGCGTGGTGGCCGCCTTGTTGGGCGGTGCGATGATGTTGATGCTCTAAATATGGGTGGGGAATGGTCGTTGTCGGAAGTCTTGGGGATTTAATGATGGGAAAATGGGGATTGCCTAATGGTTCATTTCTCGATTCCACCTTTTAGCTGTTCTGTTTTTTGTTATCGCTGGTCAGCGATCCCGTACGGTGTTTTGGGGAGTTTTATCATGGGGTTGCGGCGCATGTAAAAGCTATTAAGCTACGTACCTGAACACACATGTCCCTGATCTTCTTTGCATGCATGAGCAATGCAAGATCGAACCATCTAGATGGAGACTCTTATTGGTACTGTTGAACTTCGTGATGACGTTCTTGAGAGTGATCCACGCAAATACCGATGATGACACCCCGAATGTTTGACTGCTAATGCGTGATCGGAAGCTGGGAGCGATCATTTGGGGGTCGAAAGAGACTTTCCGGCTGTCAAGTCATGATAGAGATGGCACAAGCGATACCGTCCCAGACTTCCCAGCCGATATCCTCCCCGCCCCTCCCAGCCAGATCGTGAGGCAAGTGATGGTGAAAGGTTGGGTATAACATTTCGGCTAAAGATTCGAAGGGCGCTGAACAATCGTACACAAGTCAATAGGTACTTTGGTGTGCATATGATATATCTCGAAGAAAGCGCAAAGAGAAGGTCACTGATCCCTTCCCGTGAACTTTACCTCGGTAGGCTGTGGTAACCATTCTAGAGTCAGCCTTCCAACAAGTAGCTTCTCTCCACGGCCACTGTTCGGTGGTCCTAGTGTCCTTCGCGTCAATGGTTGGATGCGGAACAGCTTCCCGCACAAATCTTGCCAAGCCTTCTCAGCCGTCATAATCGTACGAGTCTCAGGGCCATCAGCGATTAACATCCGGTGAGGCACCGTTCCGTGATGGTGATGAAGTGAAGCTGGACCACGGCCTGTCATTGGATCGACCTTTGAGGGTGGCAGATTGAGGTTGTGGTGTGAAGTGTTTTGTGGTTGAGGATGTGTCGATAACATCGGGCCGCCGCAGGGATCTCCCTTTAACGCTCTCCACTAACCCAGTGCCCCGGGCTGCATTAGCCTTAAGGGGTCAGGGCGTGCGGAAAGCCCTTGTATGCGGGGCCTCCAGGGGGGGGCACTTAGCAGGTCGCTTATGATCGACCGCTAATGCCGATGAGGAAACCTCGACCTGACCCTAGCAGGGCGCGAACGATACAACTGCAACATCATCATCTCGATGTCAATACGCGATGTATCCACGGGTTCGTCGATGACCAGGGGAGTATGTACCGACGTGAACTCTAAAAGATGAAAGGCATCATCCTCCGGATTCGGCTAATCCCAAATTTTCAAACTTCACCCACGATGGTCAAATGTTCGGGTAAAGTACCTTTACACGCACCTGCGAATACCAAGTTAGCCCATTAACAGACGGCTAATGGTTCTTGAAGAGGGACATAGCTGGGATGGGTCGGTCAGACTCGGCGGTTTCTTTGCTTCTTCAGCATACAACTGCAACTTCATTTCACTTGGCTCTGCTCGAGTGGCTTCGCCATGGCGATGTTCCTGAACCCACCCGCTATGTTTTTGACGTTTTGGCGTTGTGAATTCTCCGAGCTGCGACCGGTTAATGACACAGCCAACTTGTGCTGGCTTGTCCGCCTTGCGTGTCCATTGGTTTAGCCATTTGAAGTTGGCGACTGGGGGAAGATATTGTTCATCGAGTCGGAGTTTCCCGGCGCAGATCCATGTTTCAACCCAGCTTTACAAGACTGTCAGAAACTTGGAAGGAACTCGAAAGATCTTGTTCGCTGACAGAAACATGCCCTGGTGACAGAACGTGGGAGAAACTGCTCGATGTAAACTCGCACTTTGGATTGTTTGTTCGCTAACGCACACCGAAACTCGAGAAGACAAGAGCTCCTTCGACTTTCACTCGCTCATCCGGTCACGCAGGATGGTTGAGGTGGTTACCCAAGGACGGGGTCGGCCCGCAGCTTCCACTTCCGCACACAGAGGGTAAGCTTTGCATTATAGTAGTTGACGATGTCAGCTGATAGGGAACCGGTGGCCTGGGGATAGCCAGCGCTAACAAGAGCCACCAAAACGCCATCATCTCACCTTGCAGCTGTTAGTGGCGTCTTCGATTCTGCACTGCAGGTGGTTCCTTCCTTCTGCCTCACTTCAACTGCGAGTTTGCCATGAGGTAATGGTCCCAATAGGAAGGAACTGATGACAATGTGTCTCATTCTCAGCCTCGAAGAGCTCTTACCTCCACCTTTATCAAAATGCATGACTCTTTCCCGGGGTAGTCTAGAGCCGACCTGGATTCCCTCAGTCTTTCCTACCGACATGCTGTGAAAAGGATACCCATGTCATGATCGACGGCGAGGGTTGCAATCTTCACCAATTGCCAAATCTAATGGACTTTACCTCACTTTGGCAACCTCTGCCATTCTCCAGCCGTATCATCTCATTCCTCCCATACCATTGTCTACAGCCTCATTATATGTCTCACTTGCCCTCACCCTTCCAAGTCAAGAACGGATCCATACAACCCTGGAGACATCACCTCATTGCAGTCTACCTTACGGCCCAGAGACGCTAACGGTGTGTTTCGACTTGGGTTACCTCTGTCATTCAGTGCTATGGGATTAACTCGGAGTACGCTCAGCTATCGTGTGCTGAGCCATTGTTAGAAATACGGGCCACTGCACTGACAATCCAGCCAGCACACCGGTATTCGGTCAACGTCCGGACTCTTCCGCGGTCTCATTCCCCAACATACCTCGATCTTTAGCGAACTAGTAGTTACTTCAACGTCATGATCTTCATGCTTTGGTTAGGTCCAGCTGGCTGTGTAAATTATTGCTTGTTCAGCTGTGCTGAAAATCCTGATGGATTTCAACAACAACCAAAACAAGAAGAGGCAACATCAGGATAGTGTCTGAGCTCATGGTCTTTACCATTGCTCGCCGACATTACCATCTTTGCAGGATTAAGAGCTTGACCCGCCCAGGCTACGGCCCTGACGACCGTATCTACTGCTTTCCGGCTCAGGCTGTGTTGCCAGTTATCCAGCCTTCACTCTGCAGACAACTTCGCCTCGCGAGGTCAAACCCATCTTCCCATTGGCCATCAGCCTTCGTGACACAGATTTGCGGCTATTGCCCGTGTTGGCAGTCGATAGGATTCCCATGGATCAGGGTTCATGACCTTTGGGGTGCCAACCCATTGGACCAACTTCGCTCAGTCTGCCAACCAACAGGGCTAATATTGGAGGTCATCCTACGCTACCTCTATCATGTAACCCATCCCACGTCTTGGGGCTAAACTGAGACATCCACGCATACGGCATCACCTGGCAAGAGCTATCAAGATCATCATGTAACAGGATACACACGACAGCCAAAGGTGCGTGAAGCAGACCATCACATGAAGGAGTCGCATTGTTATCGCAACTGGGCTACTCTTGCAGCCTAACTCCGCTCTTCTGCTTGTTTTCTGGCATCAACGAATACAGTGGGCTGTGAAGCAACATCCTGAGGCTGATATAAACAGACCAGCTCAACTTCTTATCAGTATCAATAGGTCGGACACTGACCCGTTTTGCTATTAATGCATGCACCAACTACCACTCGAGGAGTGGACATACCTACAGTCCAAACAGCAGAAGGCCAGGATACTCTTAGGTCAAAGTCAAATCAATGGATATGTTCTGAACTTCAGATATCCAGAGACAATGACAACACTTGAGTGGTGAGGCTCTTCACCGGTTAGATCACATTGTGTACTGCGGACTTCAACGCTGACAAACTAACGAGGTCTCTCATGCCCCTGTTCATCTTCTCCATGAACACATGGGTACGTCCGGATGTGTGCTCCTGGATACCGGGGAGCAACATTGACCCACCCCTTTCGACAACACCCTCAGTTCAGATTCCCATTGGTTCTTCGTTCCAATACATTGTCTCTGGCATGACATCCGGTAAGCATGGAGAAGAACTCCATGTGTGCTTGGATTTAGACTCCATCGAGATTCGTTTGCTGCCCGAGAGGAACAGTTCGCTGTTCATCGTTCGTGACGCTGTCCCCGCTTCCGGATATGGTAGCGGTCGACGTCACTGGTTGAGTGATATCAGCCCTTGAGTCTATCCTTTTCCCATCTGGTAAGTAACTCCATCGTGTCGTTCAGCTTGTCATGTTGATGGCGCTCTCTCAACATACATTTGTGGGAAAACACTATGCTGGCTCACGGGGTATGATAGCCGAACCTTCGGATAGGGGAAAGACACACCCGCACAAGATCCTCTCATAAACTAGGAAGGTCTTAGCCTTGGAGGTCAAGTCGTCTTCCAGGAGTATTTAAGATAGTCTAGATGCCCTCTTTTATGATATCAAGCCGGACACAAATTCCTGATCATCACATCACGCCATTACCATTGTCTTATTCACCATGAGCCGTCTCAATCTTCTCAACCGCCTTTCCAAGAAAGGACGAGAACGTCATGCTGTTAATACAACAAGCGATAGCACTAGACCATCAGAGGAGGATAAAGCATCATCCGAATACTCGGCTCTGACCTCTATCCACTGTAAGGAGACACTAAACCTTGTTGCCTTTTCCCTTGTTCTTCTTTTTCACTCGCCCTCATATGCCAGGAATTATGCACTGTACTTGAGCTAACATGTAACCTACAGTCCCTTTTTCAAGTACTAAGCGTCTCACTTTGGCTGAGTCGCCCTATGACAAGCCAGTGGAAATGATACGCAAGGAAGAGTATTCTCATATGAACAATGGTAATTCCTTCCTCTCTTCATCCGTTTGCTCCATCTCTATCCCGCCTGCTCGTTCTCGGCTACAGCCTAACAATGAATAGGCATCTACCTCGACCACAGCGGCACAACCATCTACGCCCAATCGACCGTCAGGCGCTTCGCTCATAGATGAGCACCAACCTCTACGGCAACCCCCACTCCGCCAACGAGCCCGCCAAGTTCTCTGGCGACATGGTCGACTCGGTACGCGAACAGACCCTC